AGATCTGATGATATCCAGCCGGCGAATGAAGGGAAGGAGCCTCACATTCACGGGAGTCCCAAGATGCCGGTGAAAGGAATTCGTTGCAGGGCCGGCGCAGGACAGGAGAATTTGACTTGCATCACATGTCCAGCCAGGAAAAAGCAGTGATGATCACACGTGGGCTCAGCAGCATGACTGACGAAACCAGAATTGGCAAGGCTACTCCCTCAATCTCCCAAGGTACCCCCGGCATCCAGTCCAGCCTGTCATGTAGCCATCCTTGAAGGAGCCAAAACTTGAGCAGACTGCCAAGTTGACTGTATGCAGTCCTGGCGGAAGCAGCGGAAGGTGCAAGTGTGGGTGGTAAAGCACTAGGAGTTGCAGACCGCACCAGAACAAACTGCATTTGATGATGACAGGCTAAGCTAGGGCAGACCGACACAGAAGTCATGTATGCAGCATCAGCTGTGGTGGCGGGCTCCGGTTGTGCATTCTCCGACAGCTCAACACGCTCTGCCATTGCAGGGGCAGGGACACTTATGCTGGTGCTGGGAGGCCCATTGCCTTCACTGCCTTCGTTGCCTTCAATGGCTTCATGGGCTTCCTCGGCTTCATTGGCTGCCTCCTCATCATGACTCTAGAGGGGCGGCAAGGGGCGGGCTCGCCTGCTCTTCGACTTCTTACGTCTAGTCGGCGGCGGTGGAGCCCACTCAGGCATACCAGGCAGTGGAGCATCATCACTGTCTTCTCTTTGGAGATACCAGATCGTGGTCCTCCCTCCATCCGGGTGAGGTTTGGGCAGAAGGCGACCAATGGGCCTCCACCTCTGAGAAGGTGCATGCACCCGGGAGTCGGTGCTGTGACTGCTGCTGGGGTAGCTGTAGTGTTCTCCGTCGCGGGCAGTTCCTCAGTGGCGTTGGTCTCCTGTGGCAGCTGGCATTTGCTTTTGTCCGCCGTGGATCGTTTGGTACTGCGGGCATGGGCCGGCGTCCCTGTAGCAGGCATTCTCTTCCCACGGAGCCGGTGGAGGAGCATCCTGCGTTTGTGATTCGTCCCTCTGCCGCCGGTGGTGCATCTATTGGCGGTGTACGCGGAGAGGGAATTCTCGGCAGAGGGCTGGCATCCGGGTCTTCCCAAGAGGAGGATGCACGTGCTGGCGGAGGGCTCCGGCATCTCCCATTCCTCCAGTTCTTCGGCCGTCCAGTCAGCTTGCCATATTCCCTGTGCTCGCGTGACAGTGCTTTTGGCGGTGGCGGTGGCATCCGAGGTTCACGAGGTCCCATTGGTTGACTGTAGACGTGGCCTGGGCTCACGTGGCTCATGTGGCTCCCGGGGAGTCTGAAAGAGCGGATCGTTCGGATGATCACGCCTACATTGCGCGTTCTCTTGTCTGGCCTCCACGCTTCCCTGCGGTAGTTTCTAGCGGTTTTGATCCTTTTGCCAGGGCGCGCACGATCCTCGGGGGGATCTGCCATTATGTCCTACGGTAGTGGGGAACATCTAAAGAGGCTACATGGAGAATCTCTCGAGCACTCAGTCGGACGGGCACACAATCATCGCACAGGCAGCAGAGGCGGCCAGAGGCGAGACCAGGCTTGTGACAGAAAGCAGAGCTGCACTGCAACTGTCCTCCACGTGAAGCGGGGTACGGCGGTCGCACCACTTTGATGGTCAGAACCTGGGAGTGCAAAGGCGAGTGAGAGAGGAGAGAGTACGGAGGGGAACCTCTAGGCGAGCTGAGGGCATTCGGAAGGGAACCTCCATATACTGACCAGCTATTGGGGTAGCAACTGGCAAATGCACTGCGGTACGATGCAGGAGGAGAATCGGTCATGGTTTGCACATGTCGATCTATGAGCAGCTGTGTGACCTGGGCACCCTGCCTTGCATGCTCCATCGGCCTGAGGGTAGGGAAGGACATCTACATTTACTAGGAGCTGCAACTGTTCAGGCAGAGACCCTGTTGGCGAGATGGGGCAGTCACCCAGCAGTTGACCCATGGCAATGGCGCTTGGCTGGCCGTGTCTGCAGAGTTGGCTTGAGACAAACCAGGAAACCTATGCAGAAAATGCACTCGCGAGGGAGAGCTTTCCAACCACACAAGCCCATCCAAGCAGTATAAATCCCAGTCCAGTAGCATCGCGACAAGAAGACTAAGGAGAGCCATCCGAAGGAGACGCAGAGAGCCTCCCGTCCTAGTCCATCTCGTCCACGCTTCCCTGCAAAGTGCATTGATACCATGCAGCCTGCATAGAGTTCGCGAACGCAGGAAAAACCAGAGAGGCTTCCCTGTAGAACTCATATCTGGCTTCCCGTGACAGCAAGGGAAAAATGCTGAACGAAATAGCGAACTCCGAACATCCCTGCCAGTCCTCCAGGTATAGCCGATACAGGTCCAGTCGGGCCGAGTACGGCAGTACTCTCCACCGCTCCAGCATCCGAGCCAGAGCCATATGTAAAATGCAGCGATGCTGGGCAGAGTCGAAAGCAGAGGAAGCACCAGATTGCAGCTGCAATGGTATCTTATTGCGCCCAGCAGAAAAAGGTGAACCAGTGCAAACAAGGAGGCCCATTGCATGTTCGTCAGGGGTCCCAACCCTGAACGATCAGACCCCGAACACACCGGACAAAGACACACCAGGGGAGAGACACCAGGGGCACTCTCGAAGTTGCGAGCCGAGACGCTTAGTAGTAGTAGTAGTAGTAGTAGTAGTAGTAGTAGTAGTAGTAGTAGTAGTTGTTGTTGTACTAGCAGTAGTAGTAGTAGCAGCAGTAGTAGTAGCAGCAGTAGTAGTAGTAGTAGCAGTAGTAGTAATTGTTGTAGTAGTAGTAGTAGTACTAGTACTGGTAGTACTAGTAGTACTAGTAGTACTAGTAGTACTAGTAGTACTAGTAGTACTAGTAGTACTAGTAGTACTAGTAGTACTAGTAGTACTAGTAGTACTAGTAGTACTAGTAGTTGTTGTTGTAGTAGTTGTAGTCGTTCCAGTAGCTCTAGTAGTTCTAGAACTACAGTTCTAGTAGTTCTAGTAGCTCTAGTAGCTCTAGTAGCTCTAGTAGTTCTAGTAGTTCTAGTAGTTCTAGTAGTTCTAGTAGTTCTAGTAGATCTAGTAGTTCTAGTAGTTCTAGTAGTTCTAGTAGTTGATAATTTTCCTGTTGTTCTGACAAGCAGCATCATCGTCAGGGAATACTCATGAGGTTGCAGTTCGACGACGATCGCCACTAGGGCGACTCTACAATTGATGTATTCAACAGGGCAACCCTGGCTCCGGGCTCGAGGACTCAATCTCGCAAGGTTCGGCAGGATCAACATCCCAGCTACGCCCGATAAACAGATCTTTTAACCTCCATAATATGGCTTTGATTTGGGGCTGCTGTTTCGGAGTTGAAGCTTTGGGATTTGGGTTTCGTGGACCGTGTATTCGGTTTCAGCCCCCCAACCCCCCCTCAATTCAAATTTGCAGGGACTGACAGCTCAAGGTTTGGCTTCGGGACCAAATGTCTAGATTGGAATGCTCACGTCCCAGGCTTCGGGGCCCTCGGAACCTTGAGTTCAGGGTCGTGGTTTGCGGTTTAAAGTTGAGGTCTTATAGCGTAACAGGAGTCGCTGGAGATGCGCCGGCTGCTCTCACATCGCCAGGTGACGCCGAAGTTCGGCCCCCAAGGGTACCGTCCCGGAGTTTTCTACACACTGACATGCCGACGAATCCAACACATGTGAACGAAAATTGTAGGGCCGATACCTCCTTTGGCAACAAGCGAAAACAGTTCAAACGGATATGAATGTGTACGTGTTTTTTGGTACAGATGCACGGCATAAGGCTGAACTTCATCCGATTTATGACGATTGCGTGTCTGCGTGCGGCTACGATTGTGTGTATCCATGTATGTATGTATGTATGTATGTATGTATGTGTACACGTATGTATGTACGCATGTACATATCTATGTATGCATGAATGCATGCATGCATGTATGCATATATGCATATGTGTGGATGTCTGTATGTACGTATGTAGTCGGCAACATCTCCAGTATGGGTAAACAATATGGAACCCGAGGAGAATGTGGATACAACGTCTACAAATAGAAAGCGAGGTATGTGTATCATGTATGTGCTACGTATAGTACACATGTGTATACGAATAAACATACGCACCGGCATCAGCACCGACTAGTACCAAACCCTTTCACTTCTCAATGGTTGAGCACGATGCAGCAAGCTTTGGTGCCCAGGCGGGTTGTGCCTAGTCTTCAATCCCCGAGCATCGCTTCTAAACCCTTCCAGGTTGCACGAGCATTGCGGCGGCCAAGGCGGTAACTGGAGAGACGAAGGTGAAACTCGACTCGACCTGTCTTCAATCGAACCTCGTTAAGTCAATATTTTCCAAGCTTCGAGGCCGGCTTGGGCGGTGGCTCAGATTTCGAAAAACTTGCCACGGATACATTAGTCTAGGAGGCCCAGAGTTTGGAAAATATCTTGAAGCAATTCTTAAAAGAGCTGGTGCCAGGCTCCAAAGCCACTTGCACCCAAGCTCTGTTCCTTTTTGGAATTCATTCATCTATCCTCTGCCTCGTCCTCCACTTCATGGTCCAAGTGATCGTATCTCACACAAACAAGCACGATTGAAACCTCTTCGATCCCGACATCACGGCCGACATCCATTCGGGACTGAAGAACCCCAACTTCATCACTCAAGTAATAATTTTTCTTGTGAGCTCTGGAATCCTTTTCGCCGCACCTGATCCATGTTGCTGATTGTGCTGTTCGTCTCCTTTCCGGATGTACCCCCAAGCGTGGAGGCACGAAATTGAAAAGACTGTGCGGCTCGTCGTTGACCCAAAAAAGTCAGGCCTACAAGCTTCAAACGCAGCTCTTTGCGTGGACAGGTTTCTTCAATCCTGTTGATGGGGTGGCTCTACATCAGGCTTCCGTGCTACGTTTCCATCACAGCAGGAGTCGACTTCAATCAGGATCCCTGACAGGAGCATCTAATTTGGAGTCCCATATATACACTTCATCCACGTTCCAGGTGGTGGCGCAGGCGCACAGCCCCTGTCGGAGCGCTGGTTGGTTTTGGGAGGTATTCGAGGTTGTGAACACCATGTGCCTGTTGGAGGCTCAGGCACAACATATTCGTCTTCAGGAAGGGCAGACATCACGGCATGACTGTCGAAACCCCGAGACATTAGTCCTCTTTCGGACTGATGACACCCCCCCGCTAGCCTTCCTAGTCCTCTTTAAGTCAAAACTCTGTATGCTATGAACCCGCAGCTTCCGTCGCGGAAGTGTGAGATATCTCTGCCTCACACCCCACCCCAACAACTGAACTCGTCAATTCCAACCCTAGGCCCTGGTCACGAAACAATACTTCAAAGCACCGATGAAGCCCGAGACCCTGCAGCTCCGCAAGCTCCCATGCCTACTACGGCCGCAGCCAGACAACCAGCACCCAGCAGGTGCGCGAGCGCTCTGCGCCCCATCTCGGAGCCTTCTGTCTTGGGCTACAGTACTTGGGCTGTCTTACATACCTACTTACTGTGTCCCTGATCCTCCAAGTAATGCGGAGCCGTTTTCGATGTAAGGGTTTGGAGCCAAAGTGTCCTCATTCAAATCCTCGCCTAGGCTCCGCATGCCCTCAACGGCTCACCCCTAACCCTAGCCCATGGCAAATGAAGCCCGTCATCGAGGGAACCGGCAGACTGGATGTCGTTGCGAACACACCCTTATTGCAAAGGAACCTGGATGACGAGGCAAATTCCCCTCATACGAGCTTGCCCTTTCCCTCTTCCCGAAGCTTGACCCCTGCCTCCCGAAGCTTGAAGCAAGACCCCCAAAGTTTGTCGACAAACGAGGTTTTTCGGCTTTGGACTCTTGGCTCTCCTAATCAAGCTCACGTGTCCCTGAAACCTGTTGCAGAACAAAACATAGGCCCCCGAACTCTTCAGCTCAGATTCCACACCCGACCGTGACTGCGATCCACGATTCCAAAGCCAGCTGTCCTGCCTGTCTCTGTATGGAAGCTCAAAAACTCTATACAGCCCTAAAAAGCTGGCGATTCCTGATTCTGCCTTGGAAAGGTAACTTCGACCGTCGAGACAAACGGCAGAGACAATAGCCACTAACGCACATGTTCAATCCCAACAACCAAGGCCAGTTCAAAAAACCCAACACCTAGGCTACTACTACTCTTACTACTCCTCCTCCTGCTGCTGCTAAGAACCGCCGGGCGCCTTCGACGCGGTCCAAGATCTCCTAGTTTCGTGGTGTGAAGGTGTGGAGCTTCGAAGTGTTCTGCTGGGTGTGAGGGTTGAGGGATCCAGCGAGATTGGGGCGCGGAGCTCCCTTCACGTTTTCATTTCTGATGCTTTGGCACCTGAGCCGAGCTTTCTGGAAGTTCACATCATCCCAGGCACGGCCTTGCCCCCAGTAGTTCGAGCAACCGCAGCGCTGACTTCGGAATCTGCTGATCAACTCATCACAGAAACTGCTCTCTCCTCGGTGTGCACCTGACCTCGCCACAGCAGAAGCCGCCTGAGAGTGCTCCGGGTGACCATCAACATCCGTAAACGGATTGGAGAACGGGTCTATGCTTCAGGCCACATGCAGAAAAGTTGTGAATCTTCTGAAACCAAAGTGATTCACAGTGACTCTGCTCAAGCTTGTGACTGGACACCATCTAATTTCCGCGTGGGTGCCACGAACCAGTGGCTCTGCACTCTCAACAGTCGCCAACTAATTCCGCATGAACCAAGCAACAAGATGTTCCGATTTATTCGGGCCGCGACAACGCCCTTCTAAGCATCAGCCCTGCATCAGCTCCAGGAATCACTAACTGAGCTCCAAAGTTTGAGGAAACCTGATTATACAATCTGAAGACTGCAAAGCTCCTACTGTCCTCTTAAAGTCCGACTGGGCATAGCACTGTCCATGAGAAGCTGTGTTTCAGGCTCAGGACTGACACGGTCAGGCTTGGAATTTGTCTGTAAACGTTTTCAGCTTTGCGTCAAAGCAAATGTCCAACGAGTTGTTGCAGTTTTAAGCTTCGGATTGCAGGTTGTAGACTCCGGGTGGTCCATCCCAGGCGGTCAGCTCAAAACCAAGCTGCTGGAGAGCTTGGCCACAAACGCTGCTCGCCTTGAAAATTGTAGGGCTCAGAATCTTGGACATGATGATATTATGGAGGATGATGAATGGTAGGAGGAAAGATTCGGCCAAAAGGGGGGGCTTCAATGCTACCTGCACCATTGCTTTGCGCAAGATACTGCCGCAAAAGAATAGAAATTCCTGGCCTCGTTTTTGGCGCGTTTGTTCTTACTACGGTGTCCTCCAAAGAACAAGCACGCCTAGTCTCAAAGCCGAAGTCTGCACAGTCCGTCTTCAAGTGCCAAAGTCCCGAAGTCTGGGCAGTTTCGGAAATGGGCTGGAGGACCAGGGCTACAGGTTCCAAGATTGATCGTTTCAGATCTCGGGTCGTGTCACAGATGTTCATTTTCCCATCCATTGCCTAACTTCCCATAAGCCCCTTGCCACAGTTGCGGCCTTCTCCATCCGCATCGGCAGTGCCTCCGAAGTCATTCGGTATGGCGGGTACGGCAACTGACTGGGGGTCCGCCATCAACAGAACACCCAAACGCTTTGGCCGATGTCACAAGCCAGGGAGTCGACCTCGAGCTCCTGGTGGCTCTTGGTCAAAAGGGCCTGGGCGACAGACAAAGATCTGGGAAACGCTCTGAGTCTGAGGTTTTACGCAAAAGCAACAAAACGTTACTTCCAGGGAGTGGTGGAAGCCTTCGCTTCCGATAGGCCTCCACATCTAAAATCGGCACAACCTGTGAAAACCCAGAGCTGCAGGAGTTGGAAAGCTTCAAGCGCCAAACGCCTCTCCTATGTCATGTGTCGAGGGTCCTGTGGCCTTCGGAAGAACGAGCACCGCGCGAGCTTCCGCTGGATGGCCAGGGTCTCCTCCTGTGCGTCTCGCAGCGCATCCTGACAAGGGTTCGGCAACGCAAGGTTTAGCAGTCTAGCTGCTTCAAGGTGCCTGGCTCCAGAAAGCACGGTCGCAACCCCCCAGCACTGCTTGCCTGGAAGTGAATCACGTCTGCTTCTGCCGCCTGGCTTATCAGATGGCTGGGGCACTTAGTCATGAACCCTGCGCCAGGAACTGTGAGCTGCAGTCAAAAGCACAAACTTCAGCACATGCACTCAACCCCCAACCAAGTCCTCGCACCTCAGCCGGGTGAGGATTCAAAAATTAAATGGGCATGAAAAAATTATGTAAATCCGAGGATAAAAAAAATCAAAATAAGCATCACAAAATAAGTCATAGGAAATGCAGCGATTCCTCGGTCAATTTACCTCGACCAATTCTAGGGCTTAGGGGTTTAAGGCTTCGGGGTGTCCTACCTCGCAACGGTTTAGGTCTATTCTCATTCCCACGTACATGGACTTGCCGATGTGCGTGGCTTGTCGGAAGAAGTAGCATCGGAGAGAGATTTGTGCCTGTTAGTGTACGTGTCCTGCCTCCTCGGGTTCATGCTTATCGTAAGCACGTTCCTTCATTTGGCGATTCCGATAGCTCATATATCTTAAACATGCGCCCTCATTTGGCGATTCCGGTTCATCATATGTCTTAAACTTGCCCCCTCATTTCGCGATTCGGATTCATCATAAATCTCAAACACGCCCCCCTCTTTCGGCGATTCCGGTTCATCATATCTTAAACCCCCCTCAGTTGGCGATGCCGGTTCATCATGTACATAAACACGCCAGTTTACTTGGGAGATTCATCAGAATTATCTCTACAAGCCGCTGCCCCGTTGGCGATTCCGATTTATCATATATTTTAACACGCCCCCTTCTTTGGCGATTCCGGTTCATCATATATCTTGAATTAAACATGCTCCTTCATTTGGCGATTCCGGGTTCATCAAAAATCTTAATTAACACGCCCCCTCATTTGGCGATTCCGGTTCATCATATATCTACAGCACGACCCCTCATTTGGCGATTCCGATCCCTCATATATCTCCAACACGCCTTCTCCTTTGGCGTTTCCTGTTCATAATACAACTTAAACACGCCCCTTCATTGGGCGATTCCGGTTCCTCATATATCTTAAACACGCCCCCTCGTTTGGCGATTCCGGCTCATCCTATATCTTAAACACGCCCCCTCATAGGCGATTCCGATTCATCATCATCATCAGCATCATCATCTTCTTCTTCCCTCGCGGCCAATGGTCTTGGTCCAGCGGGTGCTTACAGGGCGATTTGCGGCCCCGGCCACTACAGGGTGGCACAGCACGAATGCTCATATGAGCATGCAACTTCTGAAGGTGATTCACACTTATGAGTGACGACTCAGCCCCCACGAGAAAAAGTCAAAAGCCTCTCTGAAGCAGCTCCGAAATGTACAAGGTGTGGGCCATCAGAGAAGAAGAAGAGACTGTACTATCTCGCAACGGTGCACTGCAGTGTCGCGGGACATCCTAAAAATTGAAGGTGCGCGCGCGCGCGCCCCCCCCCCCGGGCTCTCACCTTTGGTGAGGGGGTCCTCAGTCGAGCGTATTGAGCGCCGTCGGAATTGCACATGGAGAGCATTTATTTCTCCCCTGGCTCGTGATTCTTATCGGGAGCCTCGACTGGATCAAGCGCATCATTCCCTCCAGTTTGTCCATTCGCTCTTGCATCACTTCCACGTCCCGGGACATTTGCCGGACCCATATCTCGAGCAGATACAGTTGGCTGGACAGCCATCGCTCCTGCTCCGTGTATTTCTCGTGTATGAAGATATCCGGTAGCTCCATGGGCACTAGGCGTAGCAGCTGCATGAGCAAAAAGGCTGTGTGGCTGCATGTATGTGGTATTGCACAGGACAAGAACATACATCGACGTACATGTATCCGCCAGGTCAGCATCAGTAGCTTCTCGAGGTCTGGCATCGTCGTCCAGAACAAGACTTGAACCTGAACTACCCCTCACCAAAAGCGTGTAGTGGCCTGAGCTCGGTCGTGGACCGTGATGCCGAATGCACGCACAGGCACAGTACTACGAGTGCCAGACAACTCGCGAGGTGTGCTCACCCAAAAAGACAGGCACCTGAAGCTGGGCCGGTACGTGGTATGATTGCCGTGTTTTCTGAACCCTACCTCCTGTGCTTTTGAAGCGAGGCAGCTGAACAAACAACCATGCCGATGCATGTGTTAAGGCGCACCTGTTGTCTTGCTGATGCCAATGCCTGATGAGGTCCTGTACATGGGGTGAGTGCTTACGGGGTCGCGGCATAGGGATGCATTTATTTAAGGGGCCTATTTCATGCATGACGTGAGCGTCCTCAATGAGATGCTGCCGCCCCTGCCAAGTCCCATCAAAGGAATTGGTAACCCTTGGCACAAGGAAATCAACAAATTCGGCAATATCATGTTGATCCCGAGCTCTGGGCCACCCCATGAGAAAATATCTGAGCTGATGGTGAGCGCTCACTCGTGCTCCTGATAAGCCACGAACGCTGTCATGGAGCATGTTGGGACTGTGAGTGCATGCAGCGGCTGCCCACAAGGCATACACAAGAGCATTGATGTAGCAAGCATTCCCATCGTTTATGAGGGTGAAAGGAGGGATGAGGCTAGGGACCGCGGAACAGCCAGGAAGGCAGGCGCCGGAGGGGCCTGCTGTTGTTGCTGCTACTTGCCACAAGCCAGTGCTGCCACCATTTGCGCCATCTGCGACCGCTTCAGGGTTGCCCTCTTCATTGAGAGTCCAATGAGCTGGAGCCCCGTGATCCCCATTAGCTTGGTGAAGCGATTGTACACATCCAGGCCACTCGGCCCCTCAAGCTTACGGAAAGGAAGAAGGTCGCGGTGTGGGTCTGGGATTCCTCCATCTTGGCAAGGTTCTGGGCAGAGCTGAACTTCTGAATCACGTCCCCTCGGAGATGAGTGAGCAAGAAATCGATGGATTCCATAAGCGTGTCGTGATTCGTCACCTCGACCTCCTGGTCGATGATCAGCCTTTTTGCCTGTCGGAACCATTTGTGACGAGCCCATGCCTTGTCCGGCGTCAGCCACCCAGCAGTCTGGAGCTTGGCGATCCCCTCCTGGGCCCCCATCATGTGGTTGATGCGATCCCGAAGCTGTTGCATCATGCACGCTAACGGCAGTGTGCGGAGTGGGCTCTGAGCTTGCAGTGTGCCCTCCTTCTGCTGCTTGTGGTACTCCTTGGAAATTTGGTAGAGACCCGGCAGCACACTGATCTCGTCCTCCCGGAGGAAGCAGATGAACAGTTTGTCCACGCGAAGCTCCGCCAGCATATCCTCCTGTCGGAGGACCATGCGTGCCAGCGCGCGGACTGCATCGTCTGGTGGAGGCTTTTGGTGCGAAGAAGGAGCGAATGGTCGTCGCTGGCCTCGCCTCGTCTCGCTGGGATCCTGGCGCTGTCGCTTGTTTGGCTTGTCGTCCTTGCATTTCTGTCCCGGGCTCGATTGGCTCTCCTGCCCCACTAGGCAGAACCTGAAGATATCGGCATCCGCGTTCATCCCCGAACTGGTGTCCATGATCGGCATGGGGAGCGCGGTTGTCCTGAGGCGGGGCAGGCTGCGGGTGCAAGGTGGATGTGCTATCAGCGATGGGCTCACCTGGGTTACCAGAAGGGCGAGTTTGCACAGATGGGGAAGCACTCGGTGGCCTGCATTGTTCGCAGTACGCTGCTGCCAAGCAAAGCTGATAAAGGACGGGGCAGGAATTGGCGTGCCGACCTGGGGCCCACACCTTGTGCCCGCACCAAGGGCAGTCACTACCCGACGCAAGTTGTCGCCGGAAGGGCTTACAGCGTGTAAGAACAACCTCATGTAAAGCATTGTACACATCTTTGTGGGCTCGTCGGATGTGCTGCTTAAGATGCTGGTGGTCTACAACCCACGTCTGGCAAAGTGAACAATGATGCAACAACTCCTTCCTTAGAGCCGTGTGCTTGAGCAAGCTGTCCCACTGAGGCCACGATTGCAGGAAAAAAGGCCTTTGCACCAGCGGGACATTTTGTGCCGCTGTGGCAGTGGCTGCTTCAGCCAGGGTAGGTGGTTTCACCTGCTCTGCAGGCTCAGGGCAGAGTTCCACCTCAGTGGTGGGATGTTGCACAAAGCTGGCACCCCCTAAATGGCTACAAGCACCTGATTCTATGTGGTGTTTGAGGTTTTGCCACTTAGCGAATTTGCGGCTGCACAGTCTGCAATGAGGCAACCCGCCAGCAGAGTGCTGGAGAGGGTCGAAACTTTGGCCCCGACCAATGCTGCCAAGTTTGTGCTCTGGATGATGGAGACCACAGTGTATCCTGAGTGCATGCTGTGAGGTGAGAACACTTGTGCAGTATGGACACTGCACTGCCTCTGATTCGGGTCCATCAAGGACATCATTGGCCTGACATGTGTCCCGCTGGGTAAGCAGTTGGATAAGCTGTTGTTCCATGGCACAAATATGGTCCATGATACCTGGGCGCGTGGTGATATCAGGATGAGTGGCGAGCCGATGCTCCAGTTTGGTGCGAAGGGAAATCAGAGCCTGCAGGATGTGCGCTCCCGGTTTGGTGACCTGAGACCGGACCCAAATCTCTTCGTTACTGACGTGAGTTTTGTGGGCTGGCAGCTTAAAGATGGCACGTAAGTGCCTTAGCATACACTTCTCCAGGCGCAGAAGCCCAGGGTCCGTTAGGCCTACAGCAGGGAGAGAATACTGCAAGCTTGTGCGGATGCAGGCGGTCCATAATCGAGTGCGATGGTCCTTGGAGATGGCATGCTGCCCTGTGAGGGCGCGCTGAATCGCATGATATTTGGCCTGCCCGGTCCGGAGACGGTGATCAAGGTTGGCGTCTCGGTGGTGATGGTACGTGACTCTAGTGCCTAAGTAATCATGGGCTTCCTTGATGGGTATGAGCCGCTCCGTCCCATGTATAATTAGACAAAGATGTTGGACCGCGTTTTGCATCTTCGTGATGTCGCGTAGGGCCTGCTTAGCCTGCTTGCCGACAAACTTTAGGAGAATGGCAGTCTTGCTATAGTTGATCTGCATTTTGTAGTCTTCAAGAGTGCTGAGCAAAATAGTCAATTCTGCCAAAGCCTTGCG